CTCTGTATAATAAGATGAGACCAGGAAACTGTCATAAATATTAAGTTTGGAAAAATACTGTCTCATTACTGTTGATTCATGCCTTACCTGCCCTTTGAGTTTCCAAGGTTGTCAATCCCATGAGAGAAAATTGCCCATACTTTCTCTCAGAGCCACTGGTGAATTAGAGGCACTTAGAGGTGCAATGTTTGAGTTAGCTGTATGTCTCACAGACAATGCTGCCAGAATCCAGTGGAAAATTTGTTCTGTAAAACAAAAGACAGAGACGTAGACAAAAATGAAAGCATTTTCAGAGAGGAAGTGAAGGCCACATTTTATCTCAGGAACTGCTGAGCATAGACAAGAGTGTGCACCAAAATTAATTGAAAAATTCAATTATAGCTCAGAGGTAGAACATTTGACTGAAAAATCAACTGAAAAGTTTGAGAGAATTTCTGATCTCTTGAACATTCTGATTATTGGTTAAAGATCTCCTGGAAACCTTGAAGACTAGTGCAAAATGAAGTAGACCCTACATGATGTGTTGCAGACAGGAGGTTATGTGAGCTGAGTTCCTACCCCTTCTTTTCTTCAGGGACCAAACTTTTGAAAGTTTTTTGGTGTCTATATGGGAAAGGAAAAAGGAAGATGACAGGAGTTTAGAAAAAGAAGGACTTTCAGGGAATGATTAAATTAGTTGAAGGGTATGTTTTCCATGTCTGACTCAAGAGTATAGAAATTTTACTCATTCATTTGTCAAAATTAGAAATATCTATGATTTTTTTTTAACTCTGCCAGATTCCTACAGGTTATTTCATTTTAGTCTTCTCTTTTAATCAATAGTATTATTTACCAAATATTTTAGATTCTTCTATAACTAATGGTCACTAACAATTCCTAATATCTTATCACTAGGAATTTAAATATAACATTACTTTGAGCTATGGAAGGAAATGAGAATGTTGTTGCCAAGGGTAAATGTAAGGCAGGATTTCTGGAATAATGGATTGAGGAATTCCTTAAGTAACTCTCCTTCACAGAACAAACAAAAACAAAAACCTACCAGGAAAACATCATAATGACAAAAACAAACAATGAGCTATTGGCAAATATAAAGAAAGTAAACTTTTTCAGTACTGTGCATATTAATCAAGGACTTCTAATAATCTGAGAATGTATGCTCAAGGAAAAGATTGAACCAAAGTAAGGAAAGAAGACTTTGTAACACATTATTGTGGTTTATTTTCATTCTCCTTTTCCATAGTCTGTGCTTTTCAAAATATTGTTAGACCTGTCAAGTCTACTATGATTCATTGCAACCCTACGATCAACACATTGAAACCTTGCACTGTTAGGAGCCATCCTCACAATCTCTGTCACGTGCAAACGCTTGTTGCAGTCATTGTGTCTTATCTGTCTCACTGAGGGTCTTCTTTTTTAGTTGATCTTATTCTTTTCCCAGTTTGATGTATTTCTCTGATGGTTCCTTCTGACAAACAGGCTCTAAGTATTAGAGACAAAATTTCACAGTTCTTTCATCCAAGGATCAGCAATTCTGTGATAGCCTTTGAAACAAGTAACCTTTCTCAATCATGAAATCTGAAACCTAGCATCTTTGTGGACACTGGATGGTGAAGGCCAGCCTGAGAATGTCTCCAAAAGTTCCATCCTTATTGTGGTTTTGATTTGTATCTCTTTTGTTGCAAGTGATTTTGGATATTTCTTTGTGTGTCTGTTGACCACCTGAATGTCTTCCTCTGTGAAAAATCTTTCCATGTCTTTTGCTCATTTTGTAATAGGGTTTTGAGCTTTTTTTCTTCTGGAGGCTTAGGAGTATACTGTAAATGACTGCTAATGAGAACTTTGTCTGAGATGGTATTACCAAATTTTGTTCCAGTCAGTAGGCTTTCTTTTCACTCTGTTGCAAAGTGTTTTAATGAGCACAGAGATTTAATCTTAGGAAAGTCAGATTCATCATTTTTTTCCCCTCTCCAGATTGTACATTTATGGCTATATTTGGCAGTCTCTTTATATCATAGGTTAAGCCTTTAATGCTTGGTCCCAGTTGTGTCTTTATGAACTTTATCATTTTGGGCTTTACTCTCAGGTCTCTGGTTCACCTTGAGTTGATTTTTGTGTATGGTGTGAGATGTGGATCCTGTTTCACCTTTCTTCAGAGAACAGTCCATGTCACCCCAGTAACAGTGGCAAAGTTGAGTCATGTTTCTCACGGGCGGAGCCGAAGGATGACTAGCAAAGCAGGATGTAAATCCAGAAAAGGCTAGACCTTGCTCAGACCACTAGCACCCAGGAACCCCAAAGCCTTTGCTTTTATTGGCGTTCAGAAACAAAGGAATAGTTCACAGAGAAATGGAAACATTAAGGATTACCTCTCCGAGCCTGAATGGGCCAGGTACAAATAAACACATTAAGGTTTACCTCACAGGGCCCAAATGGGCAGAGTAGAAAACATACATTCAAGCAAGACTTCTTTGTATTCATAAACTGTGCTTTCTCTCATATGGCAACACACTTCTCAAGAGCAGGAACGTTTGTTTCTACTCTCACAAAAGTCAGTGTCTAAAGATGTATGGGAATTGCTTGTAAACATCCTTCTCAGAGCGGCTCGTGAGAGCTGCTTGCGGTCTTCCTTCTGAAGACATCTTTATGTGCAAGGCACACAGCCACATCCCAAGGATACAGCCCCTTACATTTTTTGCCCCTTACAAGTATGGCAGCAAAAAATGTTGGAGAGGATATGGAGAACTGGGAATTCTCATACACTGTTGGTAGGATAGTAGAAGGGTGAAACCACTGTGGAAGACAGTTTGTCATTTCCTCAAAAAGTTGGACATAGAAATTCCATATGACCCAGCTATTCCACTATTTGTAATGTTTTGTTGTTGTTGTATACTGTAGAGTCAGAACCAACCCATAGATGACCCTCCAACAGGTTTTCAGAAGCAGTCAGTTAATTGTACTGGAGGAGATTGTCCATCCTTCTCTCACAGAGCAGCTGGTGGCTTCAAACTTCTTGCCTTTGAGATTGCAGCACAGCTTCTTGCTACATGGCTACCAGAGCTCAAGACAAGGAATATACCCCTAGGAAAATTAGAACAGAGCCACAGATATTTGTGCACTAATGTTCATAGTAGTGTTACCCACCATCATAAGAACATGGAAACATTCCAAATGTCCAACCACAACCGAATGAATTGAGAGGTTGGGGTTAATTTATATAATGGAATATTATACAGAATGCTGGAGCAACAATTTTGAAAAGTACTAAGTGACTTGGGAGAGGCTGGAGAACATTGTGATGAGTGAATTAACACAGTATCATAAGGACAAATCATTGTATAATTATATTATTATAATTCTTGCATAAGACTGTTATTGTAAAAATAGAAGGAGAACTATTAAAATACATGTGATAACTCAATAGAAGTGGAGGGGTGGAAGCAGATGCAGGGTAATGATGGGCAAGGCAGTTATTGATTTTATGAAACATGATGCATGAGAACTATTGTATGAAACACAATGTGAATAAAGAATAGTATGAAACATAATGTATACTAAACTGTGTAAGCAAACAAACTAAAAAAAAATCTTAGAGCATTGCTACAAAGTGAATTGTTTGAGAACTTCCTAAGAAAGTTCCATCTATAGAATGTTGCTGTCTTTTGATAAAACCTTAATTTGTATCCAAAGTCTACAATATTGGAGAATATTCTCCCTTTTCTAACAAGAATTACTGCCACTATTTCTGATCTATTAATGAAAAAAACAAAGAAACCCCTTATCTGTTGCTACTGTCCTATACATTTGATGGTATGAATCTTATCAAATCATAAGTAACATTGAGAGAATGGGAATCATAGAACCCTTGTGCTCATGTAAAATCTATACATGCACAAAGAAGCAGTTGTCCAAACAGAACAAGCAACACTATATAATTTAAAATCAGGGAAGATGTATTTCAAAGTTGTGTCCTTATCTATACCTTTTTAATTTGTGTGCTAAAATATCATCTGAAAGTCTGACAATATGAAGGAAAATGTGGCATCAAGATTTGAGAAATATCCATTAACAGCCTTCAATATTCCTATGACACAGCCTTGCTTGCAGAAAGTAAAAGAACTTGACCCAAGATCAAAGACTACAGCCTGCAATATGAATTACCTCTCATCATCGGGGGGGAAAATTATTCACCACTGGACCAATAGGCAGCACCATGACAGATGGAGAAAAGATTGAAATTGTCAAGGATTTCATCTTACTTGAGTCCACCATGATCACCTAGGTTAACAGTAGCCCAGAAGTCAAAGACATTTCATTGGGCAGATATATTTTAAAGGGCTAAAGCGCAAAGATGTCTGTTTAGACAGGAAGGTGCATTTGATCAAGCCATACTATCTTCAGTTTCTTTATATTCATCTCAAAGTTGGACAATAAATAAAGAAAACTGAAGAAGCACCAATGCCTTTGAACTGTAGTATTAGAGTAGAGCATTGAATTATCTATCCCATGAACTATCAATAGAACCTGTAAGTCTGCCTTGGAGACAGTAAAATAAGGTGTTTCTTAGGGAAAAGAATGGTGAAACTTAGACTCATCCACTTTGAAAATGATCCTAGGATCTCCCAGTCCTTGGAAAAGACATTATGTTTGGAAAAGTGCAAGATCAGCAAAAGAGGGGAAGATTTTCCAAGAGATATATTGACATAGTAACTGTAACAATGGACTTGACAAAAATGAAGATTGTGGAAATGTAGCAGGATTATACAAGGTTTCAACCTATTGTTCATAAGGTGTGTAGTAGTCAACTTGATAACACTTAACAATAGTGTATCTTAAGGTTAGAATTGGAAAATATTTAATATCTGTCAGCATAAACTAGATTTACCACCAAAATTCACTTTGAATGCTAGAGAGACAATACACATATGGAGGCAAACAACTAAAGATTGGTTTCTTTGTATATATGCTATGATCTCTCAATTTGCTATTTTTTTTTTAAGGCCCATTCACAGGAATATACATGAACACAAGCTTGTGTGGAAGATACTGAAAACAGTTCCAGAGCTAACCTCTCAATTATCAGATGATTATCTGAAAAGCCTTAGTAAATGTGCCATATCTGAAACCTGGATAAAAGGCAGCACAGGTAAAATACTCTTCAGGAATATTTGCTATCATAAAAAATATATCACTATTTTTAATTGTCCACCATCACAATGTTTAACATTTTTCTTGACACATCTTTGCAAACACAAACACAGCAACACTCAAAGCAATAGTTTTCAATAGTGTTATTTTGTTTGTTTGTTTTCATACTTACTTACTACTTTGAAAATATGACTGACATTTCATATTTACTCTTTGGAGTTATAAATTAAGATAGATATTATTATTCTTTTTAGAAAAGGACTTCAAGGATTAAAGAACATTAGGAACATTGGACTTGAGAAAGAACATTTTAAAACTAAGGTGTTAACATGACTAAAACCTTCTAGCTGAGGTCAGAGTTAAATGGCTGCTTAAGTAACTTCATTTTGTGACAGTTTGGCTATTCAGTATATAGCCTGGCACTTCTGTAAAAATTTCCACTGCACCTTTAACCTAGCTACAAATAGCTTCTACAGAAAATGTCAATTTTACCAGCTTTACTCTGCCTTTTATATGTGAAGATTTAAGAATGAATAAGTGTTGGACTTAGTGGTAAACGATTTCAGCAAGTAAGTTAAGCTCTAAACTAAATGTTATATACATGTGTATGTAAGCTCAAGTTGCTTAATGTGAAGGAGTTGTGCTGTCAACCTGAGGGGACATAGTTTGAATCCACCCACTGCTTTGTGTGAGAAAGACAGGTAATTTCCTCCTGTGTGATTTATTGCCTCTGAAAACTCACTGGAGGGTCAGGTTTAAGTCGGTTCCAACTGGACAGTATTCAACAACAATAACAACCACACCCACACACACACACATACAAACACAGCCCCTTGGAAATATTCTTATTTATAAATATTCCAACACATTTATAGCTAGGAAAGTTTTTCTACTTTTTACCCTTCTGCAGAGGAAATGAATGGCTATGTAAAAGATAGTGAACCAAAATCCTGTCACATGTTACTTTATAAATATCCAATCAAATGTATTGTCATTGTACTTTGCTTACCTCTGTTTTCATGTGTATCATCCTCTGTGGTTACAACCTCCTTGGAACATGTTTGTCAGAAGGTTCCTGACTGCTTCTTTTCTTATTCTGCCACATGCCTTTCCTGAAAACAGTTCTTCATTTTAAATAGACTTGCAGGGGTTTTTTTTCCACTACAACAGATTTCAAATACAATTCAGATTTATTACTAAATTTCATCTTTGCTCATTTTACCACTGTTTGTATAAAGTTGCACTTTGGAATTTTTGAAAACTGTTTCTACTGAAAAGATTTACAGCTTCTGAGAGTTTTGTCTTCAATGCTCCTCTCTCATAATTAGTTTTATTTAACCAGAAATCAAGCAGTGAAAATGAAATCAATGGAGTTTTATAGAAAGTGAAATGCTTTTGAAAGAGAAGAGTATTTAGCATTACCTTGCCATTAGCTTGAAGACAGTATTTTAAAAATGAAATTTCTTTATTGTAAATTTCTGAAATTCTGTTTAAAATGGTAGGAAAAAACCCAATATTGAAAATTGTTCAAGGAAAGATTGGCTGTGGACATTTTGATACATCTTTGGGGAATACTAAGGAGTGGTTTAAAAGAATGAAGTTTGTAGGTGGGAGTGTAAAATGGTGCAACCCTTATGGAAGGCAGTATGGTGCTTTCTCAAAAAGTTGCAAACAGAAAATACCATTTGACCCAACAATTCCACTACTGGGACTATACCCTAGAGAAACCATAACTGCCACCCAAGCAGATATCTACACACACGTGTTTATTGTTGCTTTGTTCATAATAGCAAACAATTGGATACAACCCAAATGCCTATCAACAAACGAATGAGTAGAGAAGCTGTGGTATATTCACACAATGGAATACTGTGCTACATTGAAAACCAAGGAACGAATGAAATATTATACAAAATGGGAGATTATGGAGGACATTATGCTGAGTGAAATATCTCAGTAACAAAAGGATAAATACTGCATAATGTCACTGTTATAAAATGGGACTGATATCAGGGTTATGGGAGAAACTAAGGAAAAAAGGGATAAAAATTTACAGTGTTGAAACTGATTAGGGAGAGAACTGTTTAAAAGGAATATAGTATTAGGTATTATTTTAATGACAAGATTCCAGAAAAAGAAATGCATAGTAAAGTGGACTGTGTACTTGGGGCAGAGATTGTACAACAATGAAAGATTTTTTTTTCTTCTTTTCAAAGAGAAAAATGAACTGGGGGGCAGGGGTGGGCAGGGAGCAAAGTGTGCAACAATGAATGAATGGGGAAAAATTTATGAAAAGAATGCTGTAAAAATATATATGCTGCATTTAAAAAATCTTTAAAAAATGTAAAAGTATTTTTTAAGAAAATAAAGATTTTTTTTTTTTTTATTAACAAATGATCCTTCATTGAAATCTTTTCATCTGTAGTTCCTTAGCTAGCTGGGCATTCCACAGCACCACTGGTGATGTCTTCTATGATGTCCTGAGGGTGACGGCCATCAACATTGCAGCCCACAGATTGGGCGGTTCCCAGGATCTCTTTAAGAGTTCCAGAGAGTTCTCTGGCTAAAGACCAGTGTCACATCTGCCGGGCAAAGCCAACAATTTCATCAAAAGTGATATTTCCGCTGTGCTTAATATTTTCTGCTTCTTTCTGTCTCTGGGTGGTTCTTTAGGGCTTTGATGATCAGGACAGAGGCAGAAGGCACCACTTCAATCTGAGCCTGTCTGTTCTGAATGGTCAGTTTCACTGTAATCCTTAGTCCCTTCCAGTCACCAGTGTCTTTGGCAATATCATCACCAACCTTTTTTGGAAACAGACCCAGGGGGCCGATCTTGGGGGCCAGAGCGGAAGTAGCACCGACTTCCCCACCGGTACACCTCAGCTTGTTTTTGTTGTTATGTGCCGTCGAGTCGCTTGCGACTCAGCGACCCTATGTACAACAGCCCTAAACTCCGCTCTGTCCTGTGCCAATTGCACTGTCTCTGACACTCCCATCCCAATTATCCTAATCACTGAATCAATCCACCTCATAGAGGGCCTTCCCCTCCTGCACTGTCCCTCCAGCCTCCCAAGCATAATGTCCTTCTCCAAGGACCGGTCTCTCCTCACAACATGTCCAAAGTATGTTAGACGGAGCTATTATGTGAGAGTAAATGTAGAGACTAATTAGAGAATAAGAAAAATCTGGCCTGGGAGGAATGCACCATGTTCCAATGAGCATCAAACACTGAAAGCTTTTCTAAGGCTGCTTCTTACGGGGAGAGATGTTTCTCAGCAGTAAAGAGAGGTGTGGTGCTACCGCAGTTTCTGTGTGAAGATTGGAGCTTTCCTTTTTTGCACCAGCACAAAACTTCAGTATGGACTGAGATGCAAGAGAGTCTGGGAGATCATAGCAGACTAATTAGGAGCTGTTATATGTATCGGTCACGCTGATCTCTGATTAAAGTCCTGCTTCCTTCTTTGAACCATCATTTTACATCACTGCTGTACATAAAGTTCAGTCTTTTTTTGTCTTTTGAAAAACATCTTAGTTTCCTGTTGTTTTTCAATGTTAAGATTGTACCCTTGTAACATTCGATCCTTGATGTTTCTCCTTAATTGATGCTTTAACAAATGCTTAGTTAGATGTGTGTGTTAATAAGCCTGTTTAAGTTAGAATGCAAGAATGTGTGTGTGTGTGTGTGTGTGTGTAAATAGGTCTTTCGATTTTTCTTTATACCCTCCTACCTCCTTAGCTGGGATAATTGGGATGGGAGTGTCAGAGACAGTGCAATTGGCACAGGACTGAGCGGAGTTTAGGGCGGTTGTGCATAGGGTCGCTATGAGTCGCAGGCAACTCAACGGCACATAATAACAACAACAACCTCCTTAGCTCATGCAGGTAGGTTCTTTTAACTTTTCCTCATACCCTCTTTACTTCCTAGATCAAGTATTAATGGGTACATTCCATAAAGACTACAGCTAATAGTAAAACAATGACACAATTATGTAAACAATATAATAATATTAAAAAGACTGTAATTTATGAGTTCATGTCAAGAAGAAATGCACAAATACATTGTAACTTTATTGGAAGGAAGTGGGATTTAGGGGACAGTGAAAGATTAGTATTAATTCTTTTCCTCTCCATCTATAATATTTGTTGTGTTTTCCACAATGAATTAAAATTCTTGTGTTGATGTCTGCAATTCCACATTTATTTATATACCAAAGATAATTTAGAATTGCAATTAGGAGCAAACATTTCACTTCAAAGACATTTGGTTCAAATTATTGACCGGTAAATAAGGGTTTTCATTCCTCTGTTCATATCAGCTTAATGATATTAATATCATTTGATAATATCACATGATGTTAATCTCTGATCATTTTTATTAAGTACGGCATTCCCAATTGAATTTTAAGTGGACATAATTTTGAATATTTTTTTACTTAAAAGTCCCTGTGTACACTCGCCTACATAAAAGTCCTCCTCCTGTGTTTTAAAGACATCTAGATCTGACAGCTCAGCTGTCTCACTATCAAAGCAGTCACCTCATTAACTGTCTGACCTTTGTAAACCTCTTTGTTCATTCAACTTAAAAACAAGCCCAAGTATGTGTCTGTCTGTATCTCTCTCTGTTTCTCTGTCTCTCTCTCTCTCCTCTTTATTCATGTATGCATTCTCCCCTCCCTTTGCTAGGGTTGTTGTTACCTAAAGTATTCCCTCTGGATGCCCTTCATCACCAGGCTGCTAACTCTCAATCTGCTGCTGAGGCTTGAGTTTCTCTGGTCTCTTTCTGTACAGCTGTCTGCACCTTCTGGTGTCTTTTCTGACCACAGGTTCTTGGGACATCATTATTTAATGAAGTTAAACTTAACTGTTACGACAACAGTCTTCTACTGATTCCGTTTTCGTTAAGAAAATTAAAACCAAAACAAATCATGTTTTTAAAATACACACTAACACATGTACATATCTCTTGTTTAAGAGATAAGAGAGCTCTGGTGGCTTAGG